AGAAAAATAAAAATAAATCCAGGAAGAAACATATGAACGGTAAATCGTTTGCTTATAGTAGATGAATTTGTAAACATGACAATCATTGTACGGAAGCTAAACGTACATCCGTCGATCACACGGATATGTTCCTTCTATAAGCAAACAAGTAACAGACTGGGTCACAATGACTCCGTAAAGTTAAGTTGCGGTAGCCGAAATAAAACCATTGTCGAACGCCCACAATCGCGTAGTTCTTTTTTATGAATGGTATTGTAAAAGGTTTCTTTTTAAAAGCAGTGTTACTTAGTAGTCGTTTGTGACTTTGATCGGCCGTGACTTTTGTTGCTGTGTATCAATAAAATTTTGAGCAAGTTAAAAATAAAAGAACTTTTGGCGTTGAACTAAATAAAGAAATTAAATTTAATTGCGTTTTAAGAAAGGTGTTCGATAATAATAAATCTAATTTAGAAAAATTAAATAAACAAGATGAATAAACGTGTGTATTTGAACATGGTGTCGACAAGTGACGATTACTGTTATTGTTGCGTTAGAGATTATCAGAATTTGCGACGTGAATCTAAAATGCTTTTATTCGGACGATTAGTAAGTACAAAACAAATTAAACCTTATCCCAAGATACGAAGTACTCAATTGATTTGAATGTAGCTTCTTATTCACAACTAACTGTTGCTGGCGACTTAGTCTGCGTGAAATTGAAGAATAAAAAATTAACCTATGTTACTCACAGATAAATTACCTTTCTAACGGTGAAATAGTTAAAACGGCTTAGTAGTTTTTTAGTTATATCAATACGTACAAAAACACAAATCTTTATAATATTAGTATAGATAATAATATAGACATTGACATCGTCTTGGAAATTTCTTCTATCTTTGCCATTTTTCTTATCTTTAGGTCTTTATGCTTTTGGTTTATTGTATTTAGGTAACGGCAGTTTTATCAAAGCATCACATAATAAAGCAAAAAGTGCAATAATTTTACTAAGAATATAAGTAATATGTAGTGAAATAAGGTTATTTTTGTTAACAGTTATGTGGTTAGTTTGTACGGTAAATTTTTTTGATAAAAAAAACGCTCGCTTGGATTTTAGCATAGCAAACGTGTTGATTGTTCTTATAGAAACGTTACTGTTAATGCTGATTTGACCTAAATTACAACGTACGTAATCAACAAATACATATGAATCCTTCCAAGAAATCTTGTGCAAAAGTTCACTTTTTGCTATGACTCAACAATTTTATTGTTAAGAGCTGATGAAATGTTCTGTCAACGGTTCCAAATTGACAGTATAGTTGACACGACAATGCATTTCATACAAAGCCAATTTATGACAACAAGGAAAAGATGAGATGCCCTGATATGGAGACCAATGACTTTGTAAAACAAAAGAAAATAGATTCAGGCGAAGTAATGCATCGAGATTGGTCAAGGGTGACGATGGTATAAGTAGAGATCTAACATTTTGTAATATTTACAAAATAAATCAAAGTTACTTGTTATACAGATAAATTTTAATGTTTTTTGAAGGTTTTTTTAAATGCAGTATTAAGATAAAAGGTAGCCTATATGCCCGTCTATCTCAGCTACCCTTCAGTGAAAGTTCGATCGAAATCGACCCAGCAGTTTCGGATATTACACGGAACAAACCCAGCTTGCGGACAGACAGACAGACAAAAATTTACAGCACCGCAAATACATTATCTGGATTTTTTCTTTTTATTTTATTATACATATAGATAATCTGGAATACAATATGTAAATTTAAATCGTGTATTTGTAATAAAGTGAAATAGAATATTTTCACGCACAAACCGCGTGAACATTGTAAACCAGAAAATACTAAATCTATATTAGTAAAGCCGTCATATAACTGATCTGTCTGTTTTGATATACAATTATCGAGATTGATTGGAGTTAGCGTATCCAAGTAAATTAAATTTGCTATGATCTGCTCCATAACATTTTTAAACAAATATCTTGGTAACTCAGTTTGTATTTTACACTTTCGATGCTGTGTAAATTATTTAAAATTATCAAATAGCACTTTAAACATTTAGAGGTGGCATAATTTTATTAACATAATTAAAATTGTCCCAAAAAAAAATCACAATGTACTTTTTAATTTTTTTTTTCATACAAAAAAAAACTTCAAATTTTTAAAGAAAATGTTTTATTGTCAAGTTGACTTTGTCATGTTTTTTAAGTTAATTATACTTCGTTTTTTAATTCCAATAACCGTTTAAATATCATCAGTTACATAGAAAGCCTGTCATAGGAAATATCGACGAGAAAGAACTCATTGTGATATAAAAAGTGGTATAACCGACCTCAATGACACATCCTACACAACAAACAATAATAATATGGTAATTATTTTTAAATGCTTTCTTAAACGTCAATTAGAGTGATTTATTTATAACATACCAGCTTTACAAAAACAAAACTTAGTAGCCTATGTGTTCTTCCAGACTATCCTCTACATCTATGCCAAATTTCATCGAAATCCGTTCAGCCGTTTTGGCTACAAACATCCATCTAAACTTTCGCATTTATATTAGTATGAAGTTGCTAGAAGCCTAACTGAATACTGCGACATTATTCAAATAACTAACACCGTCTTAAATGATAACTCTAAATTCGATTTATAAAAACATCTGACAGAATCAGAATATAAGCGGCACTTAGAAGTTTGTTTAAAAATCGTATCAGTGTCCAGCCGTAAATAACAGACATTGGGAGATTATAATCTTTGGCGCCAAATATAAATTTATAATCAGGATAATTCGCTTCAAAATTTGTAATATATTCAAATTAATTACCTAAATTAAACGTGGAAACTATTTTAATATTAAAATTAAGAATTGCTCATAAATTTTGTATATTATTGCCAATTATAATTTTTTATAAAAAAAACTTTTTCAATTTTCTAAAAATATAAATCTAAATTAATATTAATTTTAAAAAGAATTTGGACGTAATATTTAAAAAAAAAACATTATTTATTAGATACGAAACAGTAAAATTAAACACAAATAATGCTTTGTATCCAATGATACAAGCAGGCGCTGTTTATTCTTTCTTTGATTCCTATGAACTTATATGGAGGTGCGCACACTACTCGATTTTTAGTTGTGCAACTAAACAGTTGAATTGACAGCGAAACAATCGACGAGCGATAGTTTATTCAAAGGTGTGCGCCCGCACCAGTACAATGTAAGCATATCGCACAAACCACAAACGCATCTGACACAACAAATAAAACTACTACATATTAGAGATTTCACTATCATTGTGTACATCGCTAATCTTATCGCTAATGTTGGATCACGTTACATTTACGACATCCAACATTCAGTTGCAACATTTAAAGACCATGTTGTAAAACTTCGACCGATAATCGTTCGATTCCCAAAGTACACTTACGAAATATTTGACTTTTAACGTATCAAAATATAGCAAAGCCTAATGGACAAAAAATTATTACTTCAACTTTTAATATTAATTCATTTTGGCACCTTTGACAAAGAGAAAAGATTTTTATTTTTCTATGTAACGCATTAACTTAAAAACTACTAAACCGATATCCAAAATTATTTTGTCATTAGAAAGCTACATTACGACTGAATAACATAGACTATATTTAGTGTTAGAATTTTTAATTCCAAGCTATTCTTCTGCTGGAAATCTAGTAGTACTCATATACTAAAATAGTACCGTAACTGAATGGTAGTGGACACTGTAGATGTAAATTTTTTTTATATATACAAGTTGCGACATTCCTGTAATAGAACGCAATAATGACGTAAATGCCATGAGACTTATTCATCAACAATGAACAGTACTGGTCTATGGGGAAAATACTACGCCTTCGAGGAACATTTATATACTCATTTATAAATTATGTAATATTCTTTACGTACCATCCTAGAAATTATTATCGTATACAATTTTTTTATTGTAATAACGCGCATATTTCTCCAGAAATGGTTCTTCTATTTGATAGAAAGACCAAAAGCAAATGATCATTCGATTTCCTATAACCCATGTATACAAAGATGGCGCGTGCAAACGACCCATTAAAAACTTATGTAGTAAAATGACTCAGATAAATAATCTATTGTTGTTTCCTATTAAATGTATAAAAAAGTCAGCATACCTACACTTCTTAGCATTATTCCAATTCAGCAAAAAATCATTGAGTACAACGAACTTCTAGAAATTCTTAGAAAACGTCATTCACTAAATCGTAATCCAATCTACGACTTAGTAATAACTGAAATAAATTTAGTGATCGTAAAAAAATAAACAAAAACCGTTTATCGGCAAAAGCAGATTGAATATTTAAAGTGAAAAATACAATAGAGTTTTTAACTTGATATTTCATTTTGTTTTTATTAACGTTAATAGTAAAAACAGTATATGTACTTATTCTCTAATTATTTGCTATTGAGTCTTAAAACATAATTATCTCATTCAAGACAGCAATAATTAAACAGATATCGTTGATTTTAATTGTACCATATCGTGATAGTCACGTAGATGAAAAAAATCACAATAAAATCATTCAGAAGATCATAATTGTAGAACGTCAACAAATAATTACTAGAAGTGACTACGGTAATTGATTGTTATCCACAAAGCAATTCTGAACAAAATAATAGCATTCGGTAGCGCTGGTGCAGGTAATCGAAAAACACAAGCTGTCTTTTGTGCCAATTAATTTGCATTCAACGCTTCCAATTGTTCGTATTCCAAAGAGAATTTAATGATACGCTTTAAAACTTCAATACTCTTCAAACAATTCATTTCTGTATTTATTTCTCTTCTTCCAGAAATGAAGAAATAGTCTATAGACAAGAGATTTTAAGACCTACAATATTGTAATATTTCAAAGAATAAAAAGGACCAAATCGTTTCAAGGAATTTGAAATTCGAATTGTATTTTTCAATTGTTTAAAAGTAATGTTTCCAGTAATAGGATACCGTTTTGTCCACAGTTCCATTCCGTGACGGACAAGCGGTCACAGAACAATGAATTCGGAGAAAACAGTGTAACAATAGTTACTGAAAAGAAGATAGAAGATGATGCGTCATCCAGTGGAGAGAATGTTGAAATTGAAGGTACGGACGCAATATTATCCTTTCAGACCGATTAAGACAGATTAAGCTGCAGACCTTAGTCTTGTAGAGGATGCATAACATAGAACCACTTTTTATATAGCACAAATTTTACATCGTTTTGTTTGTAGTTAGGTTAGTAATAAAACCAACTGCGTATCAAATTCCAGCCGTTGAAATATTGATTTAATCTTTGTTTTCAAATAAATCTTACGCGATTGACCGTGAATGTAGCAGAAACAAACAAACGAGGCACTCGCAGTGGTCACGGTCAGAGATAATCATGATAAAGTGTACAATAAATAATTAAAATCTTTACGTCAATTTCCTGTTACATTTGTTATGTTATTTAACATGAATAAGGAAATATAAAAAATCAGAGATTAACCACAATCCCACCTTTCGGAAGATTTGTCACAACTGGACGGAAATACTAACAACTTGTTTAAATCCTTACCTGTAGGAAGAAATAGCAATAGATTTCTGCCTTCTATCGAGTTTAGTTTATCATGTTCAAGTAATAATGAGGCATTAGAAAAGATCAGACCAGCAGTAGACTAATAGGCTGATGATAATGTCGATAATGAGTACAATAACAATAAACCATTTGCTAAAACTGAGTCTTTGTAGTCTCGGTATTGAACTTCGATGCATGTCGTAATGCAAACGTAAGGTTACATTATCACGCACACGATGAGTACACAACTAAAACACACAGTTAAAAATGAAGACCTCGACCGTGTTTGTACGTTCAATGACAATAAATTACCAATGATCCGGAGTACTTACATGTTTTACTATAACTAAGAAGTTATAACTCTTTTTTTACTAATCTTCAGTGTTTTAGTTTTGTTATCTTGTTTTTTTAAATTGGACTAATAGTTTAGAAGATATGGCGAATACAAACAATAAGGGTAACCTTGTTCAGTGCACTAATAACAGGGCTTTGGATATTAGAATCTTGCATCAGCTTCTGTTACTACGTAGGTTATAGGTTGAAAGAAGGGGGCGAACGTAAGTTTTGAACGTTTAAACTGCACGCGGATGCAGTCGTGGGCAACAGCTACTGTTCAATATAGTTTTGTTAACTTGTTCTTCTTAATTTGTGTCATCGTCTCATTCCCTTTTCTCTATTGGGGATTTTTTTTCAAATATATCTCATCATATTTGCTTTACAAGCTCACAATTAAATTAATAAAGTTTTCCTTTTTCGTCATTACCTTACTCATAAAGTATGTTAAGAATGTAATCAGTTTTCGCTTCTGCTTATTTTAGTTTACGAAGTATTTGATTCGAGGCTTTTATATCTTTACCTTAATCATTGTTGATTCTATCATTCATCTGTGTTACAACCGGTGAAGTCATTTCGTTACCTCTAAAATTACTCATAAGATTTTATCATCATTTGAAATTTATCAACGACTAGCTGTTCCCGTGCGGCTTCATCTGCATGTAATTATGAAAATTTTATTTTATTGCTTACATTTGTCAAATTATCAATAGCAAATGTCAAAATGACATGACATTACAAACCTTGGCAATCTTGCTTTCTTGATGTTGGCAGCAACTTATGGTCTCTTTCTCACATTAGGTATCCAAAATATTTACTCCCTATGTTTAATGGCGTGAAAATATATAGCCTAAAGCGTAAGTGTAGGGCTTTTTATTAAAAAAAAATTCAAAAATATGCTGCATTTGCTCACATCTTAAACAACAAAGAAGTGTGTGTTTACGCTTTATTATAATAGTATAGATGAGGTTAAGAAATGTATTAAATCAACAAATCGTCATTTTAGAAACTGACTAATGGTATGCTTGATTTTGTTTTACCTTTTTCAGTAACAATAATGTAAAATTACGTCAAAAAAACGTCACCGAATTACGTCATCGAGTTACTCATAGTACCGTTAATATCAGATGATGTGTACAGGACGGTTATTTAAGAGGCGTGTTCACTATTGTTCCACGAGTACTTAGCTACCTTAATGCTAGTTACCCACGAGGATATCGAGGCAGATAGTTTGACAGAACAGTGCTATTGTTTTAATGCTTACTATGAGACAGAACAGCCTAGACAAATTAACAATCGATTAGTTATCGATATCGGCGATAGAAAAATCTAAAATATAAGGAACTAATACCCAAGCAGAGTTTATTCAGAGCATTCTCTTTCTAGAAGTTTCTTAGTTACTGTTACGCGTGATGACTGTGGGTTTGTTTCGTGTTCGTTTAAATAATAGCAGTACTGCTAGTCTGCTGCTCTAGTTCGCTGTAATGCCCTCGTGTGAAACATAGCGTTTCTTAAGCCACATATTTGCCTTTTATCCGTTGAGTTTGTGCACGCGTTCACGTGTATGAAATTTGTTAAAGCGTATTGTTCAAACATCCTTGAGTTTATTAGTGGCAATACCTAAATGTAAAAATCTTCAAAAATTCCTTTGTTAATTCTTTTCTTCATTTAAATTACGACAGATATTACTTGAATATGGGTATTTAAATCTCAGAATAACTAATTGAAATTGTTATTCTTAAATATGTATTAATTTACTTAACATTTTGTTTTTTAACTAAGTAAATCTATATAAAAATCTTCTCAAACCATTGTCTAATTTGAAATTAGCGTATTTATCCTGACCAAAAATCAGAAAACACTCCGCCTGGACTTAAAGAAATAACAATTCAAATAATTATTGATTTTATTTCCTTTCCATATTTATAAATAACTTCAGATATGAAAACTATTTATCTATGATGTTACCGTAGTTTTAACTCTTGTTTTAAAAGTCGCGGGAGATTGTTAAAAATAACAAAATCACGTTTCCGCGGTTATCCACAGCTGAGATATTTTAATTGCGCGATAGATGTCGCACGCGGCGTCGGCGCGTGCGCACGTGACCCACACGAAGTAACATGTGCTTAACTGGTTATATTTATTTAACTATATGCATGTGAATTGGTGACAACGGCATGTTTAACTAATTTATTTAATTAACTCCGATTATTACCGGCTTTAACAATTTTGACTGTATATTTTAAGCAATGGCTTTAATAAAAATATGTTTTGACTTTTTTATACCGGTAGATGGCTCTTTTGCAAATTTATATTTCAATAGATAGTTGTTTAATACCAAATGCATAAAAAATTATAATCAAAGATAGAATGAATTGTATCATTTTTGTTGTACATAAAAATAACGAAAACCGTAACCGATTGCAGTAAAAAAATTTAAAACGTTCTTATAAATTCAATTAAAATAGTAAAAAAATGTAATCCAATTAAGCAATTCTGCACAGATCAGTTTGAAAAAACAGTTATTTACCGTTATTTTCAAACTGTCTATTGCTTTACACGTTTAAAAACGTAAAAGTACAAGTAAAAACGCTTTTTACGGAGTAACTGTTAATTAACAAATTTTCGTATTCGTTCAACATTCAAAATTCATCAGTCACGATAATTAAAAAAACTCGGTGTCAAGAATTTCAGGCAATTCGGTGCGGTTTCTATTTCTCCCAACTTGTATTTAAAATACTTAATGAATTACTCCGTAGGAAACCCTGTTTTAAACTAAACATGTACCAACTCACCTTGATATCTTAAATTTTTTGACTATATTACTAGCGCCATCGATCAAAATGCAATTTTTGTGTGTAAACGGTGAAACGCTCTAAAACGTCATTTGTTTTTAACATGTGATGATACTAAAATATTCAGCATTCGATTGAATAGGCTAGTAGGCTAAAGTTTATAGCGCTAGGCGAACCTACAATTTCCTCAAAGGCCACCAACGCATCTGTTATTCCTCTGGTGTTGCGGAAGTTTGGGCGTCGTTGACCACCTCTGTGTTCCTGTCGCTTGTTTGCCCCCTTCTCTTACATATAAAAAACGAAACAAGAGTTTTATAGTGTTCGTAACATCGAGAGCGTTAAAAAAACGCCCGTGCGATACGGGTTAAAATTTAGCACATTAAATTTGTGACTTCCTTTCTGAGGCAACCATGACACGTCAACTTTAAACGGAAAGGGTAAAATGACCTAATTGACGTGATACAAAACCTTCAGACATTATTGACTCCCTGCGAGGTCAGCATTAAACGAGGTGATCGGGGGTGAAGATAATTTGTCTGTCGGAACACACAGAAAATGTTAGGCGAAACAACCACTATTTATTAAGAAGTATTGAACAATAAGAACGCTAGAACAAAAATAAAAACAGTCATAAATTGAACTAGAGTTCAAAATATAAGCACAAAATGTTATAAAAACTCACACAAACATTTATAATATTTTTTTTATATTTCGAATCCTCGTTACATAAATAAAATAAATTGGATAAGAACAATAAGGTTACGAATTGAATTTTCATTGACACAAAAAAAAACAAGTTATTCAAATTCGAGCATTTAAAATGAAGTCAAAAACATTTATGTAAAACATAATACAAGGTGTTTATATTTAATTATTTCTGTAATATTTTCACAAATGTACACTGAGTAGAGCCCCCTAGTGACCAAAAAATGAATCTCAATCCGGAATAGATTTACATTTTCTCCGTGCATGTCATTTACCTCGCTCCTGCTGACGTCATACTCCTCGTCAAATAATCCCGCTAAGACTAGGAGCATTGACCCTTTAGTAACTGGACTTTACAAGGGGTTTTATACATCTCCCGGCAAATTAATTAAACTAAAACGCATTTTAAACGTTTCATTCTTCGTTCATTTCATTCTCGGTCATATTCATTTCGATCATTCATTCACTTTAATATGTTTGTAAGATAAACTTGCTAAACTACAATAAAGCACGTCACAATCCGACATTAGGACCTGTTTATGTTTTGATTTCAAAGGATTTTTAATGCAATGATGACGCACTAAATTCGCTATTTTATACGTAAACAAAATTAAATGTACGTCACCTTTATCGTGATAACCTAAGCACAAAAACCTAAAAAATAATAGGGACTTCGACAAAAATTGTATTAGAATTAAGCAGCGCCTATACCGAACGTAACTACACAAACAAATCTGATATTCTATTAGTCGCTGATGTTCCTAATACTTGCAAATTTAATTGCTACGTCTTCGACTTCATTGAAAGTCGACTTTTACATATATCAAAGGATTTCAAATGACATAACACAAAAGGACTTAGGGGCTCTTAGGTTACCCTAAAGTCTGGCCCTAAGATGATTTACGCGAATCATGAATCAATAATATATTTTACTAGCTTTCGCCCGCGACTCCGTCCGCGTGGAATTTTAAAAAAATGAGTGATACCAAATTTCATCAAAATCCGTTAAGACGTTAAGACTACAAACTCTAACAAACATCCATCCATCTAAACTTTCGCATTTATAATATACGAGCTTTCACCCGCGACTCCGTCCGCGAGGAATTAAAAAAAAAACTAAATCAAGTAGCCTATGTGTTCTTCCAGACTATGCTCTACAACTATACCAAATTTCATCAAAATCCGTTCAGCAGTTTAGGCTACAAACTCTAACAAACATCTATCCATCCATCTAAACTTTCGCATTTATAATATTAGTAAGATGTAAGTAAGTATTAGTATGATTACTCTTTAAAAGTGAATTAAGCTAATTGAAGAGATACTTAAATTAAAAATCTATTTCTCAACCTAATCCGGCTATCCGAGGCGCAGGCATTGCACAGCAAACCGGTTTCAACAGTGGCGGTCTCTAGCCTCAAAACCTTTCTCTTTCGTCTGACTGACATAGTTAGTAAATCTTATGCAATTCACTGCAATTGACATTTTTGCCTTATTTCCAATAATCACTTTTAACAATTCATTTATGTGGCAACCCTGAATGTTGGGCAAACGCGTTTTTATTACGCGTGAAATAAACAACATTGGGTTTTTCAAATTTTTATTTCGAACCACATTGGCCTTGTTATTAACGGGTTTTATGTAACCTATGTTATTTGGATATTTTATGCATCTCACATAGTTCATCATAATATGACGTATTAACTAATTAATAAATATGTTAATAAAACCTAATAAAAAGAGACATAAGCAATAATTAAAAGTTAACAACTAAACATTTTGATATATTTCGGAGAGTTTCTAACACAAATTACTGAAGCAAATATAACCTCCAGTATAAAATGAAATAGAGAGATATAATCTCTCTCGCTCTTCGAATAATTAGTTATAATGAACGATATTAGTTTGTTTAAAATAGATACTTTATACACAAATAATACTTTCGTTTGCAGAAACATCTTACTTCTTACTCATATAAATGGAAAACTATGTTAGAATTTGTAACCTAAACTGCTGAACGGATCTCGATGAACTTTAGCATAGATGTAGAGTATAGTCTGGAAGAACACATAGGCTACTTACATTTGTTTTTTCATGCCACACGGACAGACTCGGAGGCTAAAGGTAGTCTCTACATAAATCTAAGTGTTAATATGGTCATTTTAATATTAAAGTAAACATCTAAATTTAGCGGATCTATAAAACATTTTGTGAGTCATGAAGTCATCGATATAGCTCTAACATTTATTTCGCTACTTTCACACGAGGACAGAAGAGTGAGGTAGAGCAGTCGGACATTACAGCACAACTACAGAAGAATTTTAATTTTAACAGTACGTATACGTTCGAATATAGCAGTACTCTGCTGACTTTCAAGTGCCCTGGTGTGAAATTAATATTACCTTTAGATCAGAGTATTTTTATACTTGTTATCTTTTTTATTGCTTTTAAGCTATCCTGTCATTTGTAATCAACGTTCGCTAATCTAAAGTGCACTTAATTTTTTATTATTTTAATTCTAAATTATTTCTTAATGCACTAATGCAACAATTTATTTGTAAGTCTTTCAATCTATACTATTATAATAAAGCGTAAACACACTTCTTTGTTGCCTAAGATGTCAGCAATCACAGCATTTTTTCGAATGACTCTTTTTTTAATAAAAAAACCCTACACCTACGTCACACTTTAGGCTACATGTTTTCACGCCGTTAAACTAAGGGGTAAATAATTTGGATAAAAACCCTAATGTGGGAAAGAGACCATAAGTTGTTGCCGACATTAAGGAAGCAAGGTTGCCATGGTTTGACATCATGTCATGTTTTGACATTTGCAATTGATAATTTGACAAATGTGAACAATAAAATGAAATTTTTATATTTATGCGAATGAAGTCGCATGGGAACAGCTAATTATAGATAACTTTGTTTAACTTGTTTGTAAAATGCTGGACTACGTTGTTAGTTGACATCAATCTTTAAATGAACTTTGTGGTTGTATTTAATACATTCGTATCGAATATTGCAATCAAAGGTTTAGGTTACGATATCGTTTTTCAGTTTAAAGGGTACGAGGTCAAAGGAATATGTGTTGGCATTCAAGACCAGAATTGTATATCATTACTAAGGTTAGCTACGAAGAGAGACCAATAAATAACGTCCACCTCTAAAACAGCATCATATCAGTTAAGGATATTAATTGATTTTTCATCTTCATCAGGTTTTCGTCCTCCAGTTAATCTATCTATCTCTGTCTCACTTCTTGATCATGTCACCTTTCACACAATCCATCCCTCTCTTTCTATGTCTACCTCTATCTGTGTACTCCATATATTGATTTAGTCGCTGATATTATAATGTATATATTAGTAACTAGCTGTTCCCATGCGACTTCATCCGCATAAAATTATGAAAATTTTATTTTATTGTTTACATGTCAAATGTCACAATGACATGACATGACAAACCTTGACAATCTTGCTTCCTTGTTGTTGACATCATCTTATGGTCTCTTTCCCACATTAGGGTTTTCATCCAAAATATTTACCCCCTAAGTTTAATCGCGTGAAAATATATAGCCTAAAGCGTGACGTAAGTGTAGGGCTTTTTATTTTAAAAAGAATTATTTAACAATATGCTGTGATTGCTGACATCTTAGGCAACAAAGAAGTGTGTGTTTACGCTTTATTATAACAGTATAGATTCAGTTGTAGTGCATTTATTACGTAATCATCAGTATAAATTGACCGGTTGCCACGGGTCAAACACGTTTGTGAGGTGTTACAACATTTTAAAACTGCAATCGCAAATGTCAAGTTTATTTTCTTATGCGACTTTATCCGCATAAAATTACAAAAACTTTGCATTACAATGCAAGCAAAATTTAAATACATTTTAAAGCATTATATTATCTAGCGTCTTTAGAATAACTCGCCATTTTTTTACAAACATTTATATAAATACTTTAAAACGTAAGGAATAAACTAATTCATGTTTTTAACAAATAACTTTACAATTAAATATAGCGTGAGTCTGGGTAAAACTTGCGTGTGTAAAAAACAAACAAAACATTTGCTTTTCAATGACACATGTTTACAATACGGCAGAAAAACATAAATATTTCACGTGGGAATTGACACATGCTTCTTGAGACAATGCGTTTATTAGTTACTTTTCTTTTGTAATCGATAATCGTATTCAACGATTGTTGTAAACTTCTCTAAAATAGATTGTTACCAAAATATAATATACTACCTGTTGTTCGAGACTTGTCTGCGAGAAATTTAAAAAACAACAAAATACATCGCCTATGTTACTAACTGATAACGTAGCTTTTTAATCGTAAAAGATTTTTTTGAAGAAGAATATGGTATGATTTAGAACACTGCAAGAATACATTGTTTACTTTTTTATTTCGCACAGACAAGCACGCAAGATTTCTATGTTAGACTTGGCTGGTTGTAATGAAAAATATACCTATCTATTGTCTAAATAATTATTACTGATAAGTACATTACTCTTTAGTTTCTTTGTCTCGTTCGTTATCGACCTTCATGTCCACTCAGGCGCATATCTTATCCCTTTGGATTCCTAATAAGGTGCACTCGACGTGATCTAATTATCTCAACACTTCAGCCTCGGCTTTACGGTCGTGCTTAATTTGTTTATGATAATATTGATATCATAGTAACGTGGATTGCATGCTTTGTGTTGCGTTATTTACGGAAATACGAAGCATGATCATGCATTTAACGTATCGCCGCACCCAGAGATGCTAAGTGGTCTTCCTTAGGGGCTCAATCTGATTATATAAAGTATGGAATTGAAAACTTTATAATTTTCCTAGTAATTACAGATTAAGACAGAAACGAAGTCAAACGCTTTAGGTTAAGTTTTCGTCCGCACTATAATACATTTCTCTTTATCCAGTTGTCTAACTGCTACTTTATACGTGTAAATATTTATATCTTCTTTTCTATTTTCAGATAAACCCCTACCGATAGTAGACCCTACGATAGACTCGTCGGAGGAGGGCCACGCGGCGCAGTGCGCCTGCCCTAACTGCGATGAGGTTCTATCCAGGTTCTCAGAATGCAGCATATGTCTGGAACCCTTACAGGTTAGTTCGATACATAAATAGTTATTAAAAACAAACGAAAATCGACTGATATGTACATATTTCCGGAAAACAAATGACAACGTAAATTTTAAAATGAAAAAACATCTGAATTTATTAAAAAACTAGCTGTATCCCTCTACTTCGTCCATGCAATATTAAGAAAAAAATAGCCTTTAATATACCTATGTAAGACAGCTACCCTTCAGTAAAAGTCTGGTCGAAATCGTCCGATCCGTTTGGGAGACTACTCGGGACGAGCATGGCTTGCGGACAGTCAGACAAAAAACTTTAAATGCGATTTTCGTTATCAGCAACGCAAATACATCATCTTCCCGAAATATGGAATTTTTCTTTTGATATTACAAACAGACACTCCAATTTTATTATATGTATAGATTCGTCAGTTAATTGTAGGATTCCTTGTTAATTAATTATTGCCATAAAAAGTTTTCGAACTCCAAATTACAAGGGGACAAAGTTATATCGACCTTGGTGACATATGCTTTAATGTTAATTGGCTTGCGTGTCTTCTAAGGCATTTATATCTATGGGGACAGTAACTATATGTCGTGTCGCATTATCATAGCGTGTACCAAGCAACATATGTTTTTGTCGTTAAATGTTTATTATCTTTTATTTAACGTATCACTTGATTAAAATCTGAAATGAATTAGCAAAGTGTTTGTCAGATGTACAATACTTCTGAAGAGAATTACGTCAGAATTTCTGAGAAACACTGACGTCGTCAACAATGAACAAAGATTCAAACATTTCAATCTAAAACTGAATAAAATAAAGAGCTTATTGAATAATGAAATGATTAACATCTATAAAGAAAAGCTATTGTAAAACCTAGGTACAGATAATAATCTAATAAAGAAAATAAAATTACTCGTAATCAATAATGGTTCAATGCATCTATTTACACATATTACATGACCAATTTGAAATAATACAATAGTATACAACATAAATATAAACCATTCTTTAGTTAACTGGAGAGAGGAATTATTGTTGGTAAAGTGCAAACTTAGGGTCCTTCATGAAGCGAGCCTATCGTTTCCTCAAAGGCCGGCAACGCATCTGTTATTCCTCTGTATTGCGGATGTCCATTAGCTTCGTTGACCACCTCGGTGTTCTCGCCGATCGTTTGCCCCTTTCATAATATAAAAAAAAGTTTCGTCGCAAGATTCGATGCGTAGAATCGCATACTGTGAAGGGAATTATTCTGTTATATCCAGCAGTATACTGACATGTCCGGATTCAAATGAGGAAGGTATGACAATCTACTAAATGTTTGAACCCTACGGGTTTCTAAACAAAAAATTATAAATTCTACAGTGTGTTTCCGTATGTTAAGTATTTCTAAGCAAGTGAAATATCTTAGAGCAGGTGTTTGCTAAGTTGCGCCACTGAAATTATAAACCTTACATCTTACGGCACTTGTATGTTGAACGGAGAGGTTATAAGCACCGTAACCTCTCACATAAGGCGAACTTACTTTACAAACATCGCCTTAAAACATAACAAAAGTATGTAAATTTATTTAAATAAATATCTAATTTATTTTTAAATAAATCGCCAAAGATACTGATATTTATATGATAAATGTTGTGTTTTAAAAACATGTATTTTTCCTAAATCCAACTTATCTGTCTATATGTAGGTAAATAAAGGTGGTCATTGTAAGACAAATTATGTTTTAAACGATTTTAGTACGTTGTTTTGATATATTTTATTACTCAAAGAAACAGTCAATGTAATAGGATTTATCAAAAACAACTACACAGACTCGCCATATTTTGGTCTTTACAACACAATATCAGTTTCGTTTTATATTTTTATGGCATTATTTTTTTCTTTTATTTGATATTCAATTTATTTATGTTAAATAAACATTTGTTTTGATTCGTATTAACATGACTTACCGGTAATATAAAAAGGTTATTCGATGATCGTTTCTACCTAATATTTTCAATACATAAATATTATGTCAATGAATTTTAGAGATTTTAAATTAAATGAAGGGATTTAATAGAATTTTATTGTATTATTCGACGTAACGAGGCCGCACCTTGACCCTAACGATGCAACTTTAAACAAAGTTCACTAACTACACGAAACCGTAACATCGCGCTAACTTTAACAATATTACAGAGTGAAATTCTTACATCATTATGAATGGAAATATAAATAATTACATAACAAGGACAAGTATAACATAATTTAGTTTATAAACCTACTAGTTACAGTATAAACTACAGTAAAATTAAGTACTCTTTAACCAAACGGTAATAAAAATCAGAAAACATTATTTTTTTTAGAATATAAGGTGGCAAACGAGCAAGGAACCACCTGAATCCACCGAAACGGAAAGCCACCGCTGCCCATAAACATCCGCAATTACAATATGCGCAGCCTACCCTAAATTGACGGAGGAGGAGACGCACATAAATAGGACATTTCCCCTTCCTATGTGTCTCCTCCACCGTCAAATCCACTTTTCCTTTCCATCCTTTCCTCTTAAGAATAGGGTGGAACGGGAAAGAGACTAAAATTAGGCCTCCGGTTATTATTTTGTGACGTGTGACGTTTTATAAATCGATGAACAGCAACACGCACCGAAATTATTAAGAGCTTACGCACACCTGAAACTAAACTATCGCACAACTCTTTAGTCTCGCTTTGATTCCTATGAGCTTACTACTCGATTTTTAGTTGTGCAAAACAGTTTAAAAGGCTGCTATACAATTGACAATCGCACAACAGTACGATGGTTTAGTCAAAGGTGTGCCCCTAGTGATGATTACAGATAACCAATGGTATTTTTGACAGAAAATTAGTTAATAAATAAGTCTTTAGAGATGTGGAAATACAGTTTAAAATCCGTACTTACGAACTGGAATACTGGAATAGTCATTATGCTATCGATATTTAAACAAACGACATCAAACGTGACCACTGATAATGTCCGATAACTTGAAAGAAAACATCTCTAAGTACCTCATTACATCTGATAATAAATGAGTCGCGATCTATTGTTATTGTTCTAATCTTATCGAGTATTCCAGATTACGTTTAAAAACTATGCCATTATAATTTGATAAAATTAAACTAACGTGAAATAAACCCTTGCAATTCTCACATCTGTAAATCTCTTCATTATATAGACTTTTTAGTCCAATTTTTTATCGCAAATCGTTAAATAAGTCTATCGACACGTATTTTCATACTACATACTACTATTATAAATGCGAATGTTTAGATGGATGGATGGATGTTTGTAGTCAAAACGGCTGTACAAATTTCGATGAAATTTTGAATAGATGTAGAGGGTCTGAAAGAACACATAGGTAACTCATTTATGTTTTTTTCAAGCGGAGTCGAGAGCGAAAGTTAGTTATCTCTATAAGATAAAAATAATTCCTGCTCATTGGTGTATTTAAAAACATTTTATAATAATAATAAACTTTAACAACTACATCGATAATGTTAAGTTTACTTGTTTCTCTCTCTTATTAAGGTTTTTTGTCTAAATCAGAATCGGGGTCAATATTAAGTCGACATTTGTGTTAACACTTCGGTCCTTTATATTAATGTATTGTTTATTTGTAGGGTTGCGGTCCGTGTGTATGCCCCTGGTGCGGTGGTGTGTGGTGCGCAAGATGCTCTCGGCGTATGTCACGCTGCGCCTGGTGCCGCGGCAGCCTGCGCTCTCCCGCAGCCCCCTGCCTCGCACTGCAGCGCCTCATCAACGATCTCATGCTTCCTTGTCGGAATTACAGGTAACATACATCGCCAAATTTAGTATTTTTCCCTTCTCACTCTTTTCTTAGAGAAAAAGAAATGATTTGACGGTGGAGAGAACGCATAGGAAGGGGGAATAAATTTATGTGCGTCTATTCCATTGATTAAGGGTAGGCAAAGCATCTGCAATTGCGGATGCCTATGGGCAGCGGTCGCTTCGCCATTTCGGCGGATTCAGGTGGCCGCTTGCTCGTTTACCACTTTATAATATAAAAAAATCAGTTTATCCCCCTAAGGGTCTGACTACAAGGTTTCTGATCGCCCGACCGTTTAGCATTCCAATTAAAATGTTACCCAGTCAATGGGCAAGTTCGACCCCAAGATAATCCAAAAATGTAAAACCAAAACAAAAATTTCTGAGCCTATAAATGGCAACTGCCTTCCTCCACTCTATCCCAAATAGACCTAGCTTAGATCATCGAACGACGATGCCCATTTAGTTTACAGCCAACATTTAGCACAGTTGAGATTGTGGTTATAATTTGATGATGAAAACAAGACTTAAAACCTCATTTAACAAAGAAAACCCGATTCGATTTCACACTAGCGTACAAATAAACTGTAAATAATGTGCAATAGATAATCCTCCATAATCCGTTATTACAACATCTTGATAATTTAAAAAGACAACAAACTCTACGTTGAGATAAAGCATTGTTTATAATAAAGACAATAAAAACCTCGGAGCACTCGACTGATAAAAAAGTGAATGCACTGCAAGGCTAAGTTACTTCTGCAACTTAACTAGTTTGCACTGGATAAGCACTCCAAGTAAACAAACTTATCTACAACTTTATTATATACCGGGGATTCACTATATTCATTTTAATTATATCATTTGAAACGTAGAAAACGTAAACGCTGAAAGACGTCAAAACTATTTGTAATTTCTAATCTTACTTGTTACTAATATTATAAATGCGAAAGTTTAGATGGATGGACAGATGGATGTTTGTTAGAGTTTGTAGCCTAAACGGCTGAACGGATTTAGATGAAATTTGGCATAGATGTAGAGGATACTCTGAAAGAACACATAGGCTATTCTCATTTGTTTTTTTAATTCCGCGCGGACGGAGTCGCGAGCAAAAACTAGTATAAAATACGATTTAAATAATTGTTTAAATCGTAGCAAATAATTTACAAAACTCAAATTTTGTTTATTTCTTTATCGCGTTAAAAATAAAACTAAGAATAGAGTCATTTGTGTTTTATCTACAATCTCGATAGCATTTATCGCAGCTAATTATTTAGTCATAATTCTTTTATATTTTTGGGAACTTCTCTGATTATAGAAAACATTTTCCTTATTGTTTCTTTATGTGTATTGTTTTTTTAACGAGTCCAAGAGACTCAGACTTTTTATCTGTTCTAACTTCCTAATTTTTGTCACCAGGCGCGGCTGCACAGAACTCCTAACAACAAGCACAAGAGCAAAGCATGAAGAAGATTGCAAGCATGACTCTATGATCTGCCCCGTCACCGCGACCTGCTCCTCCATAGCATTCGAGGAGTTGTCAGAACATCTGCAGTCACAACACAACATCATCGCAGTCTATTCCCAAAAGATTAAGATCCTAATCGAAAACTTCCAAACAAAGTTAAAGAAGACCGCCTGCTGTAGGACGAAGTACAAAATAATCCTACTCTACCAGAAGAGCGCGTTCATCATTAAAGTTTGCATCTACAACTTCCATGTTAAAGTTGAAGTAATGCGACGTAAGTTAGGTTACATCGCAGACGTCAAATCGGAATCTAAAAAGAGTGAATATTGCGCTCTGATAGAATTCCAAAGTAAAGCGTTATGCACAAAATCAGCGATATTAATAGAGAATGAAGCGTACAGTAAGAAAGCAGAAGTTCAATGGAACGATATCATAATGAAATCAGATACAGACGAGGCTATCACAATCCATGTTAATATCGGAAAATCTAACGCTGAAACTTTCAAGAAAGTAACGCATACGAATTGACATGTCAAGTATTTAATGAACTATTTTAAAATATTATACAAGTGTTAAATGTATTCCAAAATATTCCAAAAGTGATTTTATGTGTTGACGAGGTCCAAATAATATTCTTAAAGTTTGGTTTAATATTAAACCTACGACTAAGAAGCACGCTAGTTGTATGACGTGAACTGATGTAGTTAAATGTGACTGATATAGTTTTAAATTTAGTTATAATTTAAACTGTTATAAGTATTGAAATAAATAGATACGATCTTATAATTTACTTTTATTTCTTACCAGAAACATATAAATGGATTTAAATTAGCCTCTGAAAGAAATGTTAGTAGTTGTCGTTTGATTAATTGCTTGCATCCTTTACCTTTGCTCGCAAATATCTATAGGCCTCGATTATCACTTTGGTGTTCTCGTCGCTCGTTTTCACCTTGTCTTGTAAATAAAAATCCAGCAAGACAGTGTTGTTTAACAACTAAAGGTAACTATTTCCGAGATAAAGTATTCACTATGAAATTGTATCGGTAATAATACCGTATTAAATCTTTAAAGGCTCATTATCTTTGGTAAATTCAACATAAATTATGTACTGCTTTGTGTAACGCAACAAAGACGTTAAGCGTGTATGCAAATTAGTTAATTAACATGGAATTAACACAATTTTAAGTCCATAAAAGCAACATTAATAATTAATAACGCATTGCAAATGGAATGACGGATCTACATGCCAAGTTCATTGCAAGGTATTACTGGTTTGTAAATGCGAATGGCGAGGTGCATTAAACCAGTTTCAATCAATACTTAAGTAGACAACAATGAAACTTTGCGATTAAAATTAATCTCTTTAAAATCTATTAATCTATGTATATTGAATAGAAGTAAACTAGCTGTTCACATACGACTTCATTCGCATAAATATAAAAATTTCATTTTATTGTTTACATTCGTCAAATTATCAATTGCAAATGTCAAAATGACATGATATGCTGACAAATCATGGCAACCTTGCTTCCTTTCCCACATTAGGGTTTTTATCCAAAATATTTACCCCCTAAGTTTACGCTTTATTATAATAGTATAGATTTAGATAGATAGTATAGATTAACAAGGTAAACATTTGCAGTAGAATTACATCTATACTTAAGGTCTTTATATTCAAAAAGGACCTCAATTTATAATTTCTTGATGTGCGTCATATGAAACTGAAATATACTCTAATCAAAATAAGAAATTCGACAAATAGAAAAACCCAAGTATGTTAACCACGAAATGGTTAAGATAGATTGTTTTCTATCAACGTTTAATTATGTTAACTAAGTCCTGGTTAAACATAGAAATGCATTATATGAACAAAAAATATTAATGTCTTCCTATCAGTCAGACGTAGCGCTAGGACTCATAACAATATCCGCTTGCCTTTCTCTCTAGATTAAAATTCATGCCATGTAACAAAAACGTGATGAAATTTAGTAGCCAGTTCTTCAATGGACAAAAGTACAATCTAATTGTATGTAGATGTCCTTTTATAAAATAATTTAAACGATAAAATTCAAATATCAGATGTTACAAACTTTACAATCTGTTTCTTTAAAGCCTGTCCCACCACTGACTGATACTCAGATTTAAAAATGACGTCACTGTCAGATAAGGTAACAAAATCCGATATATCCATAACATTTTACACGTTGGATTGTTATCAGACAATTTACAATTTGGTGGGACAGGCCCTTAGTCTCATAAAACATTTTTAGACTAAACCAGTGATTGTAAACCTTTGGGTCAGGACTATCATTGCAAACATTGTTGAGATCGCAGTATTATTTTCGCGGTTTGACTTCAATGTAATTTTGTTATCAGATGAGGTAAAATGTTGCCTAACTCTGGACTAAACAATGACAATGATAAAATGAGTGATGAATGAGAGCTCTACAATGCATCACTAACCTCTTTTGAAGTGAAATTAGAAATTGATACGTCAAAACAAATATTTTGGCTTCTTGTGCTAGTTTTAAAGTCGTAATTGAATTTACAACTTTCTTCACTGGTCAAATATGGTTGTGGATTAGCGAAATTTTTGTGTCGTTCTTTGAGCCAATTGTAGTCAATCTTTAACCGTCTCTTTTATTTCAAATACTTTATCTTCATATCTTATTCCCAAACTCATATAAGCTTTGCCTTTTACAGCCGGCCGCCTGTCGCCATCCCGAATTTAATATAGTTGCTTCTTAGTTTTTTTAACAGAATATAAACAAGCGATGACTGTCAGATAATATAAATCAGCAAACATAACATGATGAATAAACAAACATAAGCTAACCCGAATAATGTTATCTCGAAGTGTTTACACAACTCTCTGACCTAGAGAACTGAAAATCTAAATTACTAATAATAAACAAGTTTATGTAATACCGAGACTACTAAAATAAAATTTCAAATCCTAAATAGAATAAGATTCATAATTCCTGTGACACTTAAAAACTGCGCAATAAAAAGAATCATCGATGTTTGTTTTGTTTCTCCGCATTTGTAAGGCATTAAGAAAGGCCTATGTTCAGCAGTGGGTACAAAAAGATACGATATATCCCCATCTCTGTTTATTTAAAAGGAATTAAAAGGATGAGAACATATTTTCGCACATATAAGACTTCGAATATTAAAGCAAACATTTTAGACAAGTACTTATGAGGGATATACCAAACATTATTAAATTGCTTGATTGCTCCACACTTTTACCGGAATTATATTGTTTTTACAATCTTTTAACTACAGTAATTCTGTCAGAGCATTAAATAATGTAGGTCATGTACCCACTACATATTAATAGCGTGGAGAACAAAAACCGATCCGAATTGCAGATGCCGAACATATGAGTCAATATAACAAAAGAATAGCGATCTTTTGTCTGTTGTTAGCGTTATCATTAGCGTAAACAAGTTTTATGACTTGAGTGTCATTATCTCCCTGCCATTATCCTATATGGGGTCAGCACAACATAAAAAACCAACCTATCAGTTGTCACTACCTTCTTAATCATGGCAACTGTCAACAAAGTACGACTTCAGAATTATATTAAATGTTTTTTTAGGACGTGCAGAAGCTCAAGCGTCACCAGCAGATGATCTTTTTTTTGCCCGAGGGGAATGCTTATGCATACTCCGTGCCCAGGGGAACGCGGTAGTTAGGTGGCACACTTCCTATAATGGGGCATACCCACTTAACCCCTCGCTTCCTCCAACGCCTTAGGTCGGTGAGCAGATGATCTATGCTAGGTTTATGCCAAGTAGTTTTATTGTCTATTTTACAGTGGTAGAGCCCGCTTTAACATCTTCGCACTGTAGTGGGCTCGCCCGGTGTAATACCACGACCACACAGAAGCCAGATGCGAACAATTCCGCGTTTTCTCTGATGAGTGTGGTACCGGCCTTCCCTTTTCCTTTCCACTTTTTTCTTAAGATAAAAAAATATGTTAAAATACATTACTCGACTATCTAAGTGGGAGGGGGACAGCAGCTATCGCCTCCTGGCGACACACATGCGGTAGCTAACGTTGTAAACTCTACCTCTGTTACCATGGTAATATAACGCGCCAAAAAGTATAGCTACATACAAAAGTAGGCATATAGTTACATGTCGGGTAGCAGAAAACGGGTTACTAATGTTCTATTAATATTCTGATACTGTGATATAACATGTTTTTCAAAAAATAATAAAAATTTAGCAACGAAGCAGACTTAATTTGAAACATTCGTCTTTTGACCTCTAACGTAGACTAGCTGTTGCCCGTGACTGCGTGAAGAATTATTTTTATTTAAATGTTATAATGTGTCAATAATCAAGTTATTGCGCAAAACATCATCTATACTATTATAATAAAGCGTAAACACACACTTCTTTGTTGCCTAAGATGTCAGCAATTAAGGCATATTTTTGAATAATTCTTTTTTTAATAAAAAGCCCTACACTTGCGTCACGCTTAAGGCTATATATTTTCACGCCGTTAAAATTTGGGGTAAATATCTTGGATAAAAACCCTAATGGGGGAAAGAGACCATAATTTTTTGCCAAAATCAAGAAAGTAAGGTTGCTATGGTTTGACATCATGTCATTTGCAATTGATAATTTGACAAATGTGAACAATAAAATGAAAATTTATAATTTTATGCGGATGAAGTCGCATGGGAATAGCTAGTTCTATATATTCAAACAGTCAGTTTGGTTTTAAATATTTAAGTAGCTAAGCATATTTTTGTAAAACATCCACTTTATCAACGCATTTGTTAATACCTTAATGATTTGAATTTATATTTTGAAATTATACATTATTTATTTCAATTTCATTTGCATAGAAGATAAATCTATGTCATTAAAGCTTATTATTGCATTTTTTTCAAAACATCCTCAAACTTTTATTAATTTTTATTGACCATGATTTTTAAAGAATGATTTTGTAAAACACAAACGTATTCTTTGGTCGTTTAATAACGAAATATTTTACAACTTTTCAAAAATAAACAAACAAACGAATTAATCTTTCATTTGAGTCCGTATTCAATCAGTTGTTACTGACATCTCACTCTAATAAGCATTGAAAGACTTCAAACATAATAGTTATCACTATAACAAGCTTTACAAAATAACCTAAAAATCTTGACATAAATGTATTTATAAGTGATGTTATGAAGAAAATCGGTATCACGTCGGAGTAGCAGCGCAACACTAGTTAATCGGCATACACGTCCCATCCCTATATCTGTCAATGTCAAGAAGGATGAAGGATAAGCGCGCTATTTTGGCGGGAATCGGTATACAGAGTATCGAAATAGCACGTTGTTAGTTATTCTTGTCGACCAATTGAGGTTAAACGACTCACTTAACACTTACAACAAAAGTTTTAGCTAAAACAATTTCTTTTTAAATTCGTGACTTTATACTTCACACTTTCAGATATGTAGGTGACCAGGATTCTTCAATTATAATGACAGTATAACGGAGACTTACAAAAATATTTAAAAATATGCGTCTGTCGGGCAAATTATGCCTATTTTTGTATTCTTATTTCAATAATCTACGATCAGTCGTCAAAATGTAAAAATCGTATATTTGCGTAATTTTCAAGATTCAATTTTCTGATTTTGGATGAGTGTCAAGGTGAGGATAAATTAATTTTTTTATTACTACTTATAAAATATAAATGAATTATTTAAACAACATTATAATTCAAATAAGTTGCAAAAAACCTACATTTCTAGACTAAATAAAAAAAATTGTATTATAACCACGTTTTATTTTTTTACATGAAAGTTAACAATTTACCAGATTAATAGGATATTTTCAACAGCAACATACCGTTATTTTTTAGAAATTCTCATTCCAATTTAGTAATATTGCGTCAAAACAAGCTAATAAGTCAATGACTCATTTATTTGCTCAAATATTTCACGTACTAAAAATACGGTAACCAGTATTTATCCCCATTTTATGCTGATGGTGAAAATGACGCGTCACTTCGGTGAAAGTATAGATGACTGCACAACAGTGACGTCATAATCATTAGAAGTGGTGACACCATGCGTTTGACATCATCGAGGATAAGTCCTGAAACGGATTTCCTTGCAATCAAAGTGCAGATAAGTCGCTTACTTTCAAGTTTATCTTGTTGTTATCGATTTAGTAACGTATGTAGTTCTTAAAACAAATTTATTAAATACAAGTGTAGTATGTATCTTTAATAAGTGTAATAGATGATTTAACTACACTATTATAAAGCTGTAGACCTTATATCTTTATGAACACCGAAAAATCTATATAACAAGACCCGCACGGTGAGATTTTTATTATCGTTTTCAACCCCTTTAAGATAAATGATATTATAAAAATAAGTAAGTCCGACCAAAAGTATGGTCACTATAATAGTATGTTCTCAATTTGTACTAGCCATAAAATAACCTATGATTTATGTCCCATAGAGTGTAGAGTTTCATCCCAAAACTGTCAAGACTTATCGATAGAGGTCAGCTCGAGCGAGGATAAATTTATCCCTTACTAAACTTTGATTGACGAGTTTTAGTGCTTTTGTATCTTTGAATAATACAAAGAATATAGTTATTTTTTTCTTAATATAGCGTTTATACTCACAATAAATAACTTACCATTTCCGGAAAACTTAATAAGAGCACAAAGAATGAAAATAAATTCTATGGCGGAGGAGAGATATAACACTTTATGCAAATCCCTTAACGTCTTCGCGCATTTGCAGGCGCCTGCCATAACTTTGCATTCAAATGAATAACATAAATATTTGCTAATAATTTTTGCCAGTCATTTTATTTAACGTGTATCTTACCTCAGCTGCGATATAGGCAGGGATCACTGACAGTAGTAGTCTCTCTTGCTGCTCTCGCTCGCACTCCAGCTTGACGCGTTGCTCCAGACACGTCCTGGTGCCGGCGAATGTGTTCCTGTGGGCGCGCTCCGTTAGCACGCGGTAGTACAGTCCTATCCCGCTCGCTGACAGTAGAAGAGCCAGCTCACAGGTAAGCTGGGAAATAAATAACATATTGAATAATCTAATTAAATACATAATTAAACTGACATTTCATTGAAGAAACAGTCTACCACTATTAATTTATCAAAAAGAGTTAGTGAATAAATTTCAGTTCAGACAAAAAATTATTTAGAGCATACTCAGTTACATCCAAAGAGAATTTTACTCAAAGAGCTCTTATAAAAAGTTGCATCATATTTCGCAGTTCAAAGTCATAAAATTATACGAAAGATATAATATAAAATGTAATGTAAGTCCATATAAGTATATACGAGCTTTTATAGCGTCAATTTTAGAGACAATCTCTTCGAAATGTGTTAACTTGGAGATTGACTGAAACTATCCCGTGTATATTGTGTGTAATATTGAAACAAAATCCTCTTATTTCTTGCAATATTAATATTGTACAGAGAATTTGTTATTTTAAAACAACCACACATTTCCAATGTATTTTTACAGTAGACGACACATTTGGTTTTACACGGCGCCTGACAGTTTACGATAAGCAACTTTTAGCGCTCGCGTGCTTTGCTATAAACTTTTGCAAGGAATTGCATTTGCGTGAGTTTAAAAATTGCTCCACGTTTATGGTTGGAAATTACTGTGATGAAATGTTATTTGTGGTGTTTTCATTTACCGCGACTGTAATTAAATATATTTATAATTATAAACCTTACTAATATGGTATGTAAGGTGTAGTGTTTTTTATTATTTTAGCTTAAAGCTTATTATTTAAGTATAAATTTGTCAAATACCTGTTGGTAGAATTGATCCTCTTGGCCCGCAGGACCCAGTCCAATAGCAACTCCCATATAAGCCAGTGTAAGACACGCTGACATGCCCAGAGCAATCCGTCGGGCTATAGGCATCATTGTATGCACCATCTAGACAACAACAAAAACAAACAACTGTATTAATAGTCCGTATGTAAACTTACGTAACTGCAAAATTGCAAATTTACAGAAGATTTACAAATTTACAGAAAATTCAAACATTTTTAACTCGAGTTCTAAATGTCATAGTGAAGTTCTTTAAAGTTTTATCTAGTTTTTAGTTGTTATAAACCAATAGAGGTTTTCTGAATATTTAAACAATATAAATTAACGTATTTCACAATAATCATACTTCATAATATTATAAATGTGTAAGTTTAGATGGATGTTGTTACAGTTTGTAGCCTAAACTGCTGAACGGATTTCAATTACATTTGGTATAAATGCAGAAGATTGTCTGAAAGAACACATAGGCACTACACTTTAGTTTCACGCTTACGGAGTCGCGGGCGAAAGCTAATAATGTACATGTACGAGTAACAATGCATGGAATGTCAAATATCTAACTAATTGGGACTTGCTGCGATTTAATTGTAATTACTGTAGCAGTTCTATAATATTAACTAAACAGCTTTAAAGTACGTTTATTGCATTCTATATTATTCGTAAGGTTTATAATATTTATGTTATATAACTAACCAAATTCGTATATAACACTGTTAAAATATAGCTTACGTAAAATGACTTTCCCTAACTAATCTTCAGTTTATAAAAGTTCAAAGCGATTGATCTCGGAACCTCTGAAGTCTCATTTAGACTTAAAAAATAAAACTTGTAATTTTTCATGTAAACTTTTGATTAGATAACCAAGTTTTAAAAAAAATAATTTCCCCTTTGACATTAATGCATATATGCTGTAATAAAGTAACGATTAAAACTGAAAATATATTAGACATATTATAATATCATACTAATATCATAAATGCTAAAGTTTAGATGGATGGATGGATGTTAGAGTTTGTAGCCCAAACGGATGAACAGCTTTTGATAAAATTTGGTATAGGGTAGTCTGGAAGAACACAATAGCTACTAACTTTTGTGTTCTTTTAAATCCACGCGGACAGAGTCGCAGGCAAAAGCTAGTTTTAAATAAATTATTTTTTTTTAAATTCAAACGCATTTTATACTTGTACATTTAGATACCCATTTGTTAATTAGACTGTCAAAATCGGAAAATTTATGAAGAAAATTTGAGAAAAGAAATAAAAATACGATAACATATGAAAATGTACACTAGTCTAGAGCGTTGGTAAACTCGGACGAACACTAACCCGTCAATATGTTGTTCATATATTGAATGGATAAAAAGGCAACGTTGAAAATTCAATTTGTAACGTCGAGTTGCGGACCTCGATGTAAGCATGGGAACACATTAAAAGTCCTTTTAGTGGACTAACTTAATAAAAAGCACAACTGAACTTTACTTTGTACGTTAAAAGTCCAGTTAAAATTAACATGGATAAAGGTTCGATGATTGATTCCACGTGTACTGTATAGTAACATGAGTTATTAATCATAATGGTTACTTATTTATCAATGGTATATGAACAAGTGAAACTCAGAATTTCTTTAGGAAAAAAGATTTATTTAACTTGACCTCAATGAATTTAGAAATTTTTAAATCATACTAATATTATAAATGCGAAAGTTTAGATGGATGGATGTTTGTTAGAGTTTGTAGCCTAAACTGGTGAACGGATCTCGATGATATTTGGTATAGTTGTAGAGGATAGTCTTGAAGAACACATAGGCTACTCACTTTTGTTTTTTTTTAATCCACGCCGACCGAATGGCGTGCGAAAACTAATTGTTAATATTTTACAGTAATAGATTTATTTCTGATAAGAAAATGTATTAGTTATTCACTAATGAATTGTATACAATGTACGTAGATAAATACGTAGCAAGTTAGCTGACAAAATATTTGAGCCGCGTAGTGTAGAGAAACAAACAACTCGCCAGGTCAATTGTCTTGTGACACCGAAACTTTTCGTTTTTAGGACATATGTAAAAATTTTTCAGTGAGAATTTTGTACACAAACATTATATAGAAACATCTACATTTCAATGTAACACTTACGAAAGTGTTTGAGTGTTTCGTATTTGATTTTCGAAATCTAACCGAAAATGAGATAAATTAATTGCATGAATTGGAGAAAAAATATTTGATCGATCTCTTAAAAAATCACATTTTTTAATTGGTATAGCAATGGGGTCAATTCCTTTTAAACGAATTAAATGAAACGTTAATTTTTTATTATCGAAAACGGAGTAAAGCAAAAAGTGTTTGAGAATTTTAAAATCACGGTTAGTTATTTCCGCTTACTAAAGTTTTCTTTTGCTGTCATTTTCACGTTTACTACATCGAACAGTTTATAAATGACCAAGTCATTAGTCGGTCGGTTTGAGAGCCCTACGAGGCAAATTGAATTTCCAACGGAAGTGTTTTTTCCCGAGCTAATTGCGCTCTCCGATGTCCGAAGGGAACTCTATTCTACAAAGTGGCGGGCATTGTGTTGGAAGTGAAGCGTTTCATGTTAAAGATTCTTACAACAAAGTGTTCTACAATTAACCATTTTAAACATTTATGTATGTCAAAGTAAAAATATTCTTTAAACTTTTCCACTTTTAACTGTCTGCTTAAAGGTTACATGCTTATGTTACGCGAATTTTAGGATCTACTCACAGTCACTATAATCAAATTAGTAGCCCATCTGCTATACCAGCCTATAATTTAAGTCTGTCATTTACATCCAGATCAATACAGCAGTTCTATAGTACAGTAACATCAAAGTTTCGTATATAATCAGTAACAATGTAGTGTCGTGTTAATTATGACGATATCGCTTACCAGTATAAGTGCGAAGAGCGGCAACGGCGCATGATGCGTTGCCATAAGCGTGCCTGCGCCGAGGCATAGTGTGACGAGCAAGGAACCGGCCAGCGCCAGCGCCTCGCACTCTGCAGCTGCTGGTAGCAACGCCAAAGCCAGCACCACTCCCAGCACACACACCGTCACTGACAGCGTCGATACTGCCTTCACTTGAGATGACAACTCCTGCACATAGATAAAAACTTCCTCACAGAATTTTTAGCGATCGATATAGGCGGTTTTACGCCGTGTTAAATCTCAAGGTCAACGCATTTTTTACGCCCACGCGTTAGGTGTTCATACGAGCGTAAAAACACTCTTGAATCGTATGTCGTGTCTGTAAGACGTGTAAATGGTTTCGGCTAAATTACTAGCCCGTTTTTATGTCTGTTCGAATACGTTCTTATTTAATATTTACACTAATTTTTTAATAAAAATATAATAAAAGTGGACAGACAGTGGGAATACCGAGGGGTTGGATGTTGGATTGCGATGGATATCCGCAATACCAGTGGAACTATAACCTTTGAGAAGGTGATATGCGGTTTGGAAATACTGCCGAGGAGATCAGCACGTATGAAGAATCTAGAAAGTGAAGCAAACCTTTCTGGATTCTCAGTATTACACCAGAGGAAACCTTAAATTTCTACCTTTTTAGGTTACAATCGAGTGTTACGTTAATGTAATTGGTCAAAACTCAATGATACACGTAATACATTAGGGAACTGCGCTTTCCACAAAACACTGCAAAAAATGCTTATTTTTGCTGACAGTTCTTTTCATTTGCGTCGCATTTTCGTGAAAGCATCATATTTTTGGTTGAGAAAATTCGTAGTAATAACTCTATGCCCCAAATCCCAGATCAAATTTAATCTCAGTATGAATGAATAGCGTATTTGTACGTTACAGCGGATTTAACTAGTTTTGTCCGGAAAAAACACATTCAACTTTCAGTAGCTTCATCACTTGATAAAACCAATTTAAAATGTTGCAATCCCGAAATGTCTGCAGGGATACTTTCTTATCAGCAACTTGCGACGCACGGGTGCAATACTAACACGAAAATGTTTATTAACATTATCAATATTTCTCTACTATATTATACACATGTACATACTTTTATCTTCATTCACTTTATGTATTAAAACTCCATCAAAATCCTTTTGGTAGTTTAGTAAACATATATAGAGACACACAGACCAAAGTATACGACTTTGTCTTATAATTTGTAGTGTTACAAGTAAATTGAAGTTATACAACTTAGGAATGATTGACAGAGTATGTGTAGTACAGTATAAAAACATAAATAAGGCACTTATTAAAGAGGATTTTTGGATCAGAAGTGTTTTAAAATAACTTTAATTGTCCCGACTACAGCTGTAGGTTTCTTTAAAGTTTAGCGCGAAATGTTAAATAAAATAAATACGGTTCGAATTTAGATTATTCTTGCAATAGTTACTAAATTACTAGCATTCGCCCGCGACTCTGTCCGCGCGGAATTTAAAAAAAAAACAAGTAAGTAGCCTATGTGTTCTTCCAGACTATCCTCTACATCTATACCAAATTTCATTGAAATCTGTTCAGCCGTTTAGGCTACAAACTCTAACAAACACCCATCCATCGATCCATCTAAACTTTCGCATTTATAATATTAGTATGATTATTTAAATTTGCACTATATCAAAGACGAAAGAATTCTTCGACTTAAAGATAACACTAAAAATTGAGCATAACATTTTTACCATAAAATCAAAAAAAGATTAAAAAGGGTTTCAGGATGTGCCAGTGTATGACATAAATCCAACACGAGCCCTTTGTTTTACTTAATAACACTAACAACAATAGGCGAGGAACTCCATTGTAATATAATCGCCTATTATCAAAATAACGAGCACACACAGTGAATGATTCCACTTTCCGCTGAATTAGGAGCCATGACTAAATAAAACCATAGATTAATTAAGCAATTTACTACATAAATATAGTTAGTAAATTCCGAATAAATTTATTAATATTTTAAGACGCTGTATTATAGAAATTCAGCACAATCTTGAGTGATTTTCTGTCGTTAACCTACAGCAGTCTATTGTCGCTTGTAAATTAGCGTTCCCTGTTGAGAGGATTAATCAAAGACAGTGAGTTCATGTTGGCTATCGAGTAATTATATGCCACAATAGATCCCATGTTAGTGAAGATTTAATAATATATACAGAAGACATGCTATATTTATGCGATAATTTTTGAGTTAGCAAACAAGTTTTCATTTTTCTTATGATCACTAAAATCACTAGCATCTAGTTAACTAATACTCTTTTAGTAGAAATAAGGAAAAAAGACTATACAGGTACAGAAAATGTCTAGAATTTTTTTTTAATCACGTTATTAAAACATAAAACCATGAAATGTAGAGAAGCCTCGTTTTTTATTCTTCGATGCAACTACACAAAATGATCGTCTATTAGAAACCTATTTCGCCTCTCTTTACTATCTCCAAAGTAAATTCTAGAACGTTCCTTACTACTTCCATTCTCGTACGCAATATAACGTTAATTTTTTTTAATCAGTTTAGTTGTGTCGTAGCAATAAGACTGTTTTTATCAGAACGTGCGGCACGGGATCACTTTCATTGGTAATTCGATTGTTTATCCAAAGCTCAGATAGCGTAGTCCTATTTTATCTGTCTACAGATATTTTTAATTGCATAAATATACGATACAAATTGATGTCCTGAGATAGCTGAATCCTTACCTTCAATAAATTAAAAAACATACATAATATTTAAGAAAAAAAAGTTGCCACAATGTAAAATGGTCCACCTCGTATTTTCCAGTTTTGAATCAAACGAAGTAAGATGAACATAAATTAAACGCAATCATTTGACAAAATTCTTATGCAAACCTATTAATTTTCCGATTTTCTAAAAGGACGATAAACCGGAGGTGTTAACCAGTAGGTAAGTGAACATCGGATGCCAGAAGAGGTTATGCTAATGCAATATCTGAAATACACAGAAATTTGCATCGATCTCTCTATTGCGGAATTGCATGGCTTTTGATGTTTAATTGAAGTTGACAGACACACTGACGTCCTGTCTATTAGTTGCATAACACGTTTGGCTAATTTGTGATCAATAAAAATTAAATGTGTCAATAAAAATAGCTTCTATTTTATGCAATGAGAATAAGCAAGACTTACCTATTATCTAGTAAAAAGACAGATTAAAATAACACTTTATAGTTAATCATAAGTTGTGTTAATGTTTTACTAACTTTCGCCCGCGACTCTCTCCTCGTGGAATAAAAAACAAAATAAATAGCCTATGTGTTCTTTTAAACTATTCTCTAGATCTATGCCAAATTTCATCAAGATCCGTTCAGCAGTTTAGGCTACAAACACGAAAAACGTATACTAATCCATTTCGCATTTATAATAATAGTAATATTTATTTATCAAATTCTTATTAAGTGTCTAAATTAACATTACAGAAGAGTAAAGCACTAGTAATTTTATAAACACATAATTTCAAAGGCATCCGAGATAAGAAAATAAAACAATGCCCTAAGTGAAACTAGTCACATTAAGTGATGAACTTAGCAGCTAAGTGCATTAGGTGCAACTTAAGCTGGGACGTAATCTCGTGTGCGGGTAATTAAGTTGGCCGCGTGCTCGCTTCGGGGCTAAGGCTCTATGCAATTACTGCATAAGTGACCGCTTGCCCCAGCTGTGAGCAATTTGTTGGATTTTCAACTGATTAAATACTGGACTCAAACTCTTATTTATCACTTTGTTAGTTATTTTTATGAGATTTAAAATACCTTAGTTTCGAAATAATATTTCGTCCTAGTTCATCACTAGCCGAAACATTATTATAAAAGCTTAATGACGTATGTCGCTTTTGGGAATTGCTAGCTTTTTGACTATTTTGACGTATTCTGTATTCTTGAAGGTTGTTAGTCTGTGCTATAAATCAGTACCATTTGTCATAATTTGAAATAACGATATAAGCTTTGTAATTGTGATCCAAAACATTATTTTAAAATATTTATGTCATGGTTTTAAAATGTCGTAATTGTGCTTGTTATGTTAATAATCGGATAGTAGTCGGATGTCAAACTAAGGGTGTTGCATTAGCACGACGATAAGACGGCCATATTGGTAAGGTATTCTGTGCAAATTGGAAGAAAACATAAGAGGTAATGAATTATTAAAGCATAACATGGCTGTGACGCCCATAGAATCCCCAACGTTCTGACACAAAATAACTTGTTAGATTCTTGTGCTTTTATTCTATACTAATACGATAAAGAGGAAAGATTTATATTTTCGTATGTATTGAAATAACTCACAAACTACTGGGCCGATTTCAATCATTCTTTCACCATCAAAAAGCTACATTATCAGCAAGTAACATAGGCTATATTTTTTTTTAATTTAACGAGGGCGAAGTCGCGAGAAACAGAAAGTTGTAAATAAAAACCGTTGTTAAGCTTTCAAAAGACAAACATTTGGAATCTACTGATCGTTGCACAAATGTATTTCATTTTGTTTCCACATGTCCTTTGATATCGCGAGCCGTGGTAAGTTTGAATGGCACTATACTACTCACCTGTGCATGCAGCACGCATACTGCACAGAGCAGCGCAGTACAACAGAGCAGAGTGACGCACAGAGCAGACACGAACAGAGCGTGCTTCAGTCTGACGCAGTATCTTCTGTACAGAGCTTCCAGTTCAAGCTCTGTACCCTCCTCCTCTGTTAACAAAACAACTGATTAAAATTTTTCTTATGTAAAAAAATCAAAATTATCAGAATTATCATTTGTGTTGAGTTTTCACTTTTCGCTATAACTATATTTATCCTACTTTTCCTATTCCATTTCTAACCTAAAAACTCAAAAAGGTCTAAATGTATTACCCAAAATTGACAACTGAGGTGTTGTTCAAATTGTGTTCCATCCCTGTGTCCCTACATTCAGTTTTTTTTTTAGTAATCCCGTTTTTTTATTTAAACATAATACTCGATTAGAGTCAAAGCTTATTTTATTCCGTTACAATAAGTAAATCTTTATAGTCTTGTTGAAAGATTCAAAATTTCCTTAACCCCTTAAAAGCTTGTCAAGTGAACTGACACTCATCCGTAAATGGACTTGATAAGGGATGAACTTAAGAGCCAAATAGTTCCGTAACAAGAATTTTGAAGCAAAATTCTGTCCTAAAAAACTTGTTTACTAAATGGTGTATAAATAAAATGATAATTATTTTAGTTTCAAAATTGTTAAAAAAAAATAACATTAAGACCGCGCACACCTTTGACTAAACTAACGCACAACTGTTTCGTCGCGCTTTGATTCCAATGAGACTATATGGAGGTGCGCACACTACTCGATTTTATTGACCGACTTCCCAATAAAAGGAGGTACTCAATTCGTCTGTATATTTTTTTATGCAACTAAACAGTTGTATTTGCCGCGAAACTATTGACAATCGCACAACAGTTGTGCGATATAGCCAAAAGTGCGCCCGCTGTAAACAAGACAACAATTTTAGGCACAGCCCTATTGTTTATGATTCATCTGAAGTTTTTGTCGTGAATTTTATGGAATCTTACCGCAATCTATGTTTTAACACTTGTACGTATATTGCATATTGTATTAAGTCATTATTATTTTCAAACGTAATTACATCACCGTTAGTAATTCTGTAAAACTAACAAAGTTGCACGTAACATATTTGATCTTGTATTTGTTTATCTACCTGCTTTTTGTATTGATCGTAACTATACGAAAATTTATTTGTCGGCTCAGTTGCAGATAATATAAACTATTCCATCGGATATTTAGTTGCTTAATAAATTTAACTGTACGCTAAGAAATTGTTGAAATAAAATCTTAGAAACGGAAGTTCAAAAACTTACTTAAAGGGCAAAAGGAATTAAGTAATTTAACTTTACTTGAGCGTGTTTATGCTCCGATGAAGTTATTAACTACGTTTCAAGTAGTATTTCTGGCAACAGTGTCTTATCATCTTGGAAATTAAAACAAAGAAATGTGTATTAAAGCTTAAGTCAAAAAGTATAAACATTCTTATTACTTAAACGACTTTAAGCTTTGTAAATATTATATCTTATTAAGTCCTTTTGGTTTATTTCTATTTTTGTTTATGTTGTCCGAAAAATTAACATCAAAAACCCTGTCTTAAAGGGTTTTTAAACTATTTGTCATTTTGCACACGAATTATAATACAATTTAAGTTAACTACAGTCGTATTAAATTCGCTTTGTATATTTCGAGGTTATAACTTCAATTGATTCATACAAGTGTCACAAATTTTCCCTCATTCTTAAAGCTTTATTCGCCCTTCAATGAACTTTCCTAACTTTTAATATTGGCGACACCTGTTGCAAAAGTTTTGCTACCAACTTGGAACAATCGAAAAAGTTTGCAACAAGAGTAGGTACTCTAGATTAAATTTGTAGCGATGGAATAAACAGAAAAAGCTCTCATCGTCTTTAAGTTATAAAAGAGAAAAGTTTAACACTACCCTTTCTTAAACCAAAATATGTTGTAGTGCTGATATGAACGGGACAATTAAAATTGAATTATCTATATCGTCGCTTCATTTGTTTTTCATTTTGTGAAAATTAAAACAATCAATCGCCTGCAGAAATTCTTCCCGCATTTTCTCTGAGTTCAAAGAAATCCTATCACGAAATTGCAGTCAACTGTAACAAGCCCTTAGTTGTACAAATTTAATTAAAAATTCCTGCCCTAGCAAGTGAAAAAATTCTTATTAATTTCGTTAAAATATATTTATATACATATAAAACCTGGCCACGCATACTCTATGGTATTAAAAAAAGAACTGAGTTTAGTCTATGGACTAGACTACTAACGCTTCCAGACTATAATCTATCTCTGTTCCAAACATCCTGTTCATTCATTTGATAACATACATCTTAATTTAAACATTTATTATAATGCACTAACTGTCGGTCATGACGTCATCCGCGCGGAATTAAAAAAAATATTAGTAGTCTGTGTTCTTTGGGACTTTGCCTTACATTAATGCCAAATTTTAGCGAAATCCGTAGAAGATACGTTTTAACAAACACACATCTAAGTATTCTCATTTATATTATTACTCAGTATAACATAAACATTATCAATTACGTCACATAATGTCACGCCTCGAAAATATTCCCAACCACTCTCGAGAATTCCATGGATCCAAAATAGCTGCGTAATCAGTTAGGAAAGTTTGAAAATACCAGCGGGGAACGCCCGCGCCTCAAATATTTAAACATTTTAAATTTAAAGTGAATTTTTCACTGTACATATAAGAGAATTAATAAAATAAGAAATCGCTTCAAAATCGTAAAGCTATAAATCTTTATAAATGTAGGTTAGATCTTTTGAATTAGCTCATATTTAGATTTAAACTAAAACCGAATTTAAATGGAGTAGGAGATTCCTATTAATTAAGTAAAGTAAGTAAACTTTGTTTTTAAAGTCAGATTAAACCGTTAAATAAAAGTAAAACGCATCCTCAAATGCGAATTCAGGAGGCCATTTGCTATCTTATACTATAGAAAATACAGCTTCATTTGTTCTAATAGTCAGTTTTCTTTGGGTATTTTCAAATCAGTCTATGAGATATCACACGTTTAAAATACCAAGATTGCTTTCCGCACTCAAATCGTCCCTTTTCGTATTCTATTACTATTTAAATAAAATCAATTTATTCAACGATAATACACACCCTGTCAAGTACAGAGATATTATGTTAATTTTTTTTATATTATAAGGGAAAGGAGTCTCTCGAATTCGTCCAAATAGCAAAGGGACCGCTGTTTATAGCATTAAACAAAATTCGTAATCATTTTCGTATATAAGATAACTAGCTGTTCAGCATAAAATTATTTTATTGTTTACATGTGTCAAATTGTCAACTGCAAATGTCAAACTGACATGACATGACACAACTTGGCAATTTTGCTTCTTTGATGTTGGCAGCAATTTATGGTCTCTTTCCCACATTAGGGTTTTTATCCAAAATAATGACCCCCCAAGTTTGATGGCGTGAAATATATAGCCTAAAGCGTGACGTAAGTGTAGGACTTTTTATTAAATAAAGAATTATACAAAAATATGCTGTAATTGCTGATATCTTAGGCAACAAAGAAGTGTGTGTTACGCTTTATTATATTAGTATAGATTTCTGTTCAACACAACTATGCGGTTTGGAATATTTACCAATTTTAACGTATTTAACCTAATCAAGGTTACATTAGAGCTGCTACTAACTTAGCCCTTTTAGTCTAGCCCCACCCGTGATGACATAATGTGGGCTAGCCTAATTAGTTACCTCTGTATGAGTGTAGAATGTTTTTGTTATTTCTTATTTTTCCCTAAATTTTGGTATACGTCACATTCATAATGTTTTAATCATAAAATTTCATTCAATTTACTTTAAAGTATTTGTAAAAAGAATCCATTATTTTACTCTATCATGTTTGCAAAGATTAAACATAAAAAAATGTTACTTTAGCCCAGAATAATGAAAAATTCATTCATAAAATTTCGTCCGTTATTTGATAAAAATACATACTTTACTCAGCTATGTTTAGAATTTATAAATAATTATCCGTGTCCTTGTTTTGTGTTGAAAATTTAAACATTCATGACATGGGTCAAGCCTTATATTATTTTCAATTTCAATCTTAATATTGTACAGTTTTAAATTCTTAAAATAATAAACATATACGATTACAACTGAACTGTAGAAAATCAATTAATTACATGCATTACTAATATTATAAATGCGAAAGTTTGTATGTTAGTGTTTGTAATCTAAACTGCTGAACGGATCTGGATATCTGGCATAGATATAGAGGATAATCTGAAAGAACACATAGGTTACTCACATATGTTTTTTTATTACACGCAGGCGAAGTCACGGGCGAAAAGTTGTTTGGAAATAATTCTGACAGTGCTACTTATTTGTCATACAATATGTGTTAAAACAAGCCTAGAGGCATGTTGTTTTGCTTGAAGATATGATGTATCATAGTTGGGTACAATAAATATTAGTTACTTAACATTAATTTGTTAAAAATTGCTATCTTACTAATATTATAAATGTGAAAGTTTATATGGATGGATGGATGGATGTTTGTTTGAGTTTGTAGCCTAAACGGCTAAACGGATTCCGATGAAATTTGGCATAGATGTAGGATATAATATGGAAGAACACATAAGCTATTCACTTTTGTTTTTTCCAATACCATGCGGACGGAGTCGCGGGCGAAAGCTAGTTAATTATAATAATTCTTCGGGATCATAAAATAGCCTATCTTATCGCTGTTCATTTATACTTTCCGTTATAATCTTACTCATAAGTTTAAAGTTTTGGTCAATGACATACAATAACATGCAGATAAATATGGATATACTCGTACAATTGTTCCAACTAAAACCTTATAAGCATATACGCGATACAATCTAAAGCTACTTATCGTTTGTTCCGTAACCCATACTCGACAAATTTTACATTTAGTTAAAAACGTATGCTTTGTTTTATTTTTACCATAATAAAACAGAAATCCGGGTGTTGTTGAAGTATTCTGTTTTTATGTACTTTTTTTATAATATAAGGTGGCAAACGAGCAAGCAGCCACCTGAATCCATCGAAATGGAAAGCGACCGGTGCCCATAGACGTCCGCAATTGCAGATGCATTGCCTACCCTTAACTGA